TCATTTATACATGGGCGATGTTCCATTGCCACGTTGAATTTGGAGAAGCTCAATCCACAAAAGTTGGGCAATGCATCGGCCTTGCCAAATTGACGCTTTCTCCACGTCACCGGTGTGTTGTAGTTTAGATGCCCAAACTTTGATCAGGGATATCCATGGTTTCCAGAGATGTGTCAAAAAAACTCCAGGATCAATCCACACCTCCATCTTTGTGCAGTTGGCTCATAGCTCACATCTTCATGTTTGTTGCTGTACAACTTTTGTGTTGCTGAGATTCGGCTGTCTAGTCGAATAGCCACTTGGTCTATTCAAATTGGGATCATACCTCCAAAAAGTGCAATTTTCATGAGAAATTCGGATGCGGAAACCATTGAATTTGGGATAATCAATCCCATCCCCCACAAAATTAAATGAAAATATGGTACCGCATCATTTTGCCAGTCAGACTGCTGGTTGGGGGTATCACTATTTTCAAGCCTATAGGACAATTCAAGGTCTAGTGTTTATGACCTGCAATGGTGGCAGCTTGGGGAGTCTTAGACTCATGGCGTTTTGGCCACCTTTGTAGCCGTGCACCCTCAAATTTGGCATGCTGCCAAAGGGGGAGTGCATGGAGAATTTCAAGAACTTGCCTTTTGGCTATGATCATATGTAGTATCACAGAATAAACAGACAGGACTGCGGTAGGTAACAACTACCTCCTACTGCAGGCTTCTTTTTGCCCAAGAAAAGTCGCGGCTCACGCTGCTCCGTTAGCACAAACAAACCCAAATGATCATGGTTGGTCATGTACCCACTCTATCCCCGCCAAATCCCATCAAATCCCGTTAAATCTCATGAAAACCCCATGAAATCCCATTGAAACCATATGAGAACCCTATGAAACCCCTGGCTTGGAAGTCAAGTCAGTACGACCAACCAATTTCTTTCGGCCCAGGGACTTCGCTCGTGCGACTGATATGGCCTCGACTCGAGGCCACGCGTTGAAGTATCTGGTAAAAGTACCAAAAACATACGGGATGGGGCCCCGAGTCGAGCGAAGGCGTTCAGAAACGCCAAACATTTCAGTGGCTGAATTCTATGGTTTATGGATGTTCATGGTAGATATAACGAAATAGTTCATGGGGATTACTTCATGGTTTATAAACCAACTTGGGTAGTGTTCTTTTAATCCATTCTACTGCTTGGCTTTTCTCGGGATTCCCCTATTGGATGATTATAATCCCCTATGGATAAAGGGTAGCTGCGAAGTCCCGAACTGATCATCAACCAACAAGGGTAGGTTTCGCAGCCACTGCTCATATGGAGCTCTCCGTTTTGTCGTGAAAATACCCACAGGAACCTCCTCCAATTCATGGATGATGACTTAGTAATTCCTGGTATTTTTCAAGTGGTGACGTTTGAGGACCCATTTTCAGGCAGACCCCCATAGCCAGTAGGGTGCCAATGAGAACCATGGCCATGGAGAAATTGGACGTTCAGCACCAATCAAGGCACCATGGCTTTTTGGAGGCGTATTAAAAGAAGTTGCAAAATTGGGGATTCTTTACTTCTTGGTAAAGCCAAAGCCAAACCCAAGTTTCCATCGGCAAACATGGGAATTTTGCTCAATCAAGTTCAATAGCTCATTCAATGCCTAAACATGCCTAAACCACTAAAGATTCTGGATGCTCAAACAGTGATCAAAAAAACGCCAAAAAACACATCTCAACAAAAACCAAGGTACTGACCCTGCTGGCGCCACTCATCCTGCTTGCCCGGCTCATGCTACTCACCTGCGAAGCCCGACTGGACCGGCTTGCACGGCTCGCGCGGCCGCTCGCGCGGCTCATTCGCGAGGCACGTGCACTGGCCATGCTGCCGCGACCGCTGAAGTGACTCCCACGCGCGTGACTCCCACGCGCGTGACTCCCACGCGCGTGACGACTTGGGCTGCCATCACCTTCACCTGGGAAAAGGCTGGGGATTCCAGGGTTTTGGACCCAAGGGCCATGAATTGGCTGGGAAAATGATGTTTTTAACATTCGCTAGCGGATTTTGGAGTTTTCCCATCATTTGCAGACCACCCAATCGGCGCTGGCGAAGTTGACACCTTGTGGGTGGGATGATTCTTGAAGTTCTACCAGCTGGGAGATCCCGCTGTGCCTTTGTGCCCCGCTATTTTTCCAGGAAATCCCTCATGACCATGAAGGGGACCCAAATTGGGTGCAGTTTTCTTTTCAAGTTTGGTCCATCTGCAACTTTTCTAGAAGTTGAAAGATCAAATCTTCTTCCAGTCAACAAACACAGCGATGGAAATCCAGGGTTTCATGATGATCTACATTCATGGTGGATTCTCCATAGTTTTTCTGTGTTTACCGGATGGTATCCCTTGATTTTCCAAGGCTAGGATCCTGGTGTCGTCTCCAAACCTATCTGTTGGTCGAGTTCCCATTTATAGCAGCCCCTAGAATAGTGATAAATTGAACCTATCTCATTTTTTTTCGGGCGTGCTTAATATTGTTTTCTTATCCCCATATCAATTTAATTCTATTTGTATATCTCTCCATGATTGATGGTTCCATTACAGGTGTCCACAGTAAAATCACAAGCAGCGAACAACCATCCTTTCTGGTGTATATTCCTATTTGTTGTTTGGTTGATCTACGAATTAGGTTGACTACAGCCCACTACATGGGAATGCGTTTCGGGCCATTTTTTTTCCGATCCGGGATAACCATGATTTCAGCATTGTGGTTGAACGTAACCCCCATCAATATCGCTGTATGAGTTTGTCCCAAAACTTAGACTTTGGGGGAGAAAAAAACGTGGCGATTTCACCATAATTTTGATTGTTGATGGTTCAATACCATTGTTTGAACGTTCAAATGCTTAAATACATCTTGTTGATGAACTCAACATAGCTATGGACTATGGCCCATTTGTTCATGATTTGCTTCCGAAAGATACTGTAACTAAAAATACTAATTTTCTGTAGCAAGCTCTTACATGACCTGAAAGTAGATCATGCCCCACCATTTCCCGTTAATTAGCTATATCCCATGATTTTTGATTGTCATGTAAGTACCTTCCGATCATCAGTTCCATGCATGAAAAATCCACCAATACTGACTTCGATGGCTTATTTCCAGCTGACCAAAACCTCCAATTATGGATCATTTTCCCACATGTTACTGTACCAGACTTTCCCATGTTATTCCCAACTACAAACCCTGGGATTCTCCAGCAAATCATGCTTTTCTCATGATATTTCAGCCATGAGATTCCCCAAAGCCTAAAAACGTGGCCCTTTCAAAAAAAACACGAGGCACCGCTGGACACGAGGTGCTCGTCGGCCTCATCGATGCGGAGCTGCCGGGAACCCACCTAATAAAAATGTTCGCGACAAAAATTATGATCATCATGATACTATGATAGCCGTGCCCCCGTTATAAGTTGGTGTTTACACCCAGTTGTAAGTATAGATATATCACCTTTAAACCAGAGTGAAATTGGAGTTATTTGCACCAACTTAGCTATCTTGGGGGCACCACCTTGTATGAAAGTAGCATTTTTTACCATGATCGTAGTGATCATTAGTTTCAATACTTTCATAGTACCAGTAGTACCGCACAAGGCGGTGGAGGAAGTTTCAAAAATAGGAAACCTATAGGAGAGGTTGGTTGTTGTGAATCAGGGATGGCAGAGCGAAGCCACTGATGGATTGAAAGGTGCTTGATCTCTCTCACTCTGTCTCTCTCTTTTTTTGACTATCTACCTACCTACCTATCTATTTTCTATGTATCTATCTATCTATCTATCTATCGATCTATCTATCGATCTATCTATCGATCTATCTATCTATCTATCTATCTCTCTCTTTCATTCTCTTTCATCTAATTACCTATCTATCTGTCTATCTATCTATCTATCTATCTCTCTCTCTCTCTCTTTCTTTCATCCGTCTATCTGTCTAGCCATTTATCTATCTATCTCATCTACCCAGCTGGCCTCTCTCTCTCTTTCTCTTTCATCTAATTACCTATCTATCTATCTATCTATCTATCTACCTGTCTATAATCTCTCCCTTTCATCTGTCTATCTGTCTAGCTGTCTACCTGTCTATCTGTGTTGCAGTGTCATTCAGTGTAATGTAGTGTGGTGTAGTGTAATTTAGTGTAGTGGAGTGTACTGGAGTGTAATGTAGTGTAATGTAGTGTACTGGAGTGTAGTGTAGTGTAATGTCCTGTAGTGTAGTGTATTGAAGCGAAGCGACATCTGAACCTCCAAAAGTGGTCCGAACCCCTAGTGTTTTGAACATTTTTACTTCGAAATGTCCTTCGCGCCACAGCGGCGTGCATTTTTTCGACATCCGAACCTCCAAAAGTGGCGCGAACATGTGGTGTCTTGTACATTTTGACTTGGAAATGTGCTTCGCACCACAACGGCGTGCACTTTTTCGACATCCGAACCTCCAAAAGTGGCGCGAACATGTGGTGTTTTGTACATTTTGACTTGGAAACGTGCTTCGCGCCACAACGGCGTGCACTTTTCCGACATCTCAACTGCCAAAAGTGGTCCGGACATGGTGTGTTTTGTACATTTTGACTTCGAAATGTGCTTCGCGCCACAACGGCGTGCACTTGTTCAACATCTCAACTTCCACAAGTGGTCCGAACCTGGTGTGTTTTGTACATTTTGACTTCAAAATGTGCTTCGCGCCACAACGGCGTGCACTTTTTCAACATCTCAACTTCCAAAAGTGGTCCGAACCTGGTGTGTTTTGTACATTTTGACTTGCAAATGTGCTTCGCGCCACAACGTCGTGCAATTTTTAATCTCTCATCTGGCCAGCTGGCTCCGCACCCGCCGCTTTAGCGAGCCTACTTTTCGACCCTCCGGAGCCTCAAATCATTGGAAAAACACAGTGTTTCGCGACTTTCCTACCTTTTCGCGCATCTGCATCTTCTTTCTTCTGACTCTTTCTCTTCTGATCTTCTCTCTTCTAATCTTTCTCTTCTCTCTGCCTCTTCCCTGCTCTGCTTTTCATCTGTCCATATTGTCGGAAGTTTGACTTCTAAACTTCCTTCGATAATATACGCTATTATATATGTAGTAGTTACATGACACTATCACTGGCTTGCCAATCAAGATGCCTGGCCGGCCATGTTTCTGTTTTTGCTGCTGAGCATTTTGGCTCTTGGGATGACAGTTTGGATTTTGAAGAAGGCCAACAGAGGCCTCAGAATCCAATTGATGGAGGAACAAACAGGAGCTCTACGTTTTTCACAAGACTTGGAACAATCCAACTATGAACGAGACAAGTACCATGGGTACTGGAACTCCACGTTCGATGAGAACATCACACTGCAACTGGAACTGGACAGCTTCAATGAGCGACTTGAAGAAGCCCGTACGGCAGATCGTCAATCGATCCGGGGTGCCAAAGGCCTTTTGGACAGGGCATTGGATGAAATGGTGGATTTCCGTGAGATGCATGGATTTCATACCCCACATGGCCGTTGCTGGCACGTGACTCCTCACTGGCCAATGCGCCAAGGATCGATGATCGAGCCTCTTGCAGTGTTTGTTTCAACACCCATGTGACGCCCCTGAAGAGACACCAGGACACTGGCACGACTTTTGAGGAAGACTGCAGAGAGTTCTTCTGCAGACATGGGGGTCGTGAGGCCTACATGCACACTATCATATACTGAGAGCCGGGAGTTTTTCACTTTTGACCCTTTTTGCTCCTGTGTTGATTGCACTCCATGCACTCATTCAACCTTGAGCATTTGAGTTTTACCACGTCTGCTGGCCGCAATTTCCTTTCCTCTCAAGTGGGAGGGCACTAACGCCGACAACAAGCTACGCGTGACAAAGGACTTCGTGTGCCTGGGTGCTGCTTTTTCAGGAGACCTAGTTTGCTCCGAACTTGGTTTGGCATTACTACCAAATCACAACTAGGTTTAACAAACGTGAAATCTCCCATGGAAATATTCGCAGACAAAGGTTGGTTGCATCCCTCCATTATTCATGAAATGGCTGTTGCTCATGGTTTAACACCTGTTTTTGATGCTTCTCTCCCCCAATTCCTCTTGGTTTAAGCAAATCGTGCTGATCCTGATTTCTAGTCGCTTTTATGGTGGCACTAAGGGGCAGACTTACCAAGGTGAGTTCACAAGTCCCACAAGTCTTTCCAGTCAAGGACTTTGTGTGTTGTGAAAAGAACAATCCAAGGCAAAAACCGAATTAATTAACAAAAACTCATGTTTAGCTGTTTTGTCAAGTTTTGTCCGTTTTTCTGGCTACATGGCTTTCTTTTCCTGTTTGTTCACTATTGTGTTCTGTTTTGCTCCTATTTTTCCAATGTTTTGTGTAATCCGCTCCAACCCCCACTCTCACAGCACCGAGTTTTTCTGTTGTTGCTTCCTTTTGTCTGTTTTTCCCTGGAGTTTTTGTTTGGTTTGGTTTATCTTGTGTTGTTTTTTGGATCAATTATATGAAGGAGGTTCTGTGTGGACCTTTGGACTCTCAGTTTTACCATTTAAATGGAAATGTCGAAGTGGGTACACCCCATTTTTGGACAGACCCAAATGCAGCTTGAAGGAACCAAAGGCAAGGATTCCTTTGATCAATGAATTTAGCGTCAGTATGGGGGTTACAGGCCACAAGATTTCCCAAATTGCCATTGCGAATTCCATGTGGGTTTTTTCATCAAATCCCATCACCTCCACACCGCAAATCCCGAATGGGCTCCCCGCAGTCTCTTCATAGCTCAGATGGGTCAAGATAAGGCCCTTCTTGTTACCTTGAGGTCAAAGCACTGGTGGTTTTTGGGTGGTTTTGATGTTCTACTTGGAAGAAGATCGTTGGCGAACTATGGATTATAAATAGAACAGCTATGATTAATTATAATGGGAATATACTGGGAATATTGCTTGGAAGTACAGTGATAAATGGATGACCATACTTCGACTCAATTCTCCACATGTCGAGTATTGACTTGATACATCACCAGAGTCACAAAAGTGACACGAAGCAAATCCCAAGTCAACACGAGCATACTGCAGTAGATGTGGATGGAAGAAATCCCGTAACTCTTGGTAACTATGAAACATTGTAAATTATGGGATTATAAGGGGATAAACATCTATGCGCCCCATTCTATAGAGGTACCTGGGTTCCACCATATGGGTGCACACAAATAATCACTATAAAATCAGGAAAAAATAAGATTGCAAGAAATACGTCTCTATAAAATCAAGAAAAAACAGAGCACCACATAGTTACAAATGCCTGCTTGTAAAAACCAAATTTCTATAAAATCTAGGAACAGGGTTAGAGTTGGAACACCTTTTTGCCCTTAGAGTATCTTAAAGTCATCCACCTGGCCCACTATAAAATCAGAATTTTCAAAATGGTGGTTTTACAAAGTCTATTGAACCATGTGGATGCTCAATATTGGGGAACCTGGTTTATGATTTTATAGTGGAGCTGTTTGGCAGGCATGACGATACAAGGTGGACCTGGATTTTTGATTGTATAGTGGGTTCAAAATCAATCACAATGCGCTCATCCAGTATCATTCAGTGCTGTTTGACTTGGACACCTCCAACATAATAATATTAGTGCGATGCGGCGATTGCGTAAAACACCAAATTTGTATCAAAAACCTCCCCTCTATAAAATCATAATCTATGGGCCAACAAATCAGAACCATGCAAAAAATAGCCTCTCTATAAAATCAGGTTCCTGGGTCCCCCTGAATTGGTCATAAGCCACATGTTGGCTTACAAATGGTTTACAAATAGCCTTCTATAAAATCAGAATCTTTCTTTCTCGCATTTTTTGAACACTTTGTGAACACACCTGGGCTGACTAAAATTATCGTTCTAAACGATACTTGGGTATACCCAGTTTATAGAAGAAATGTAAAGGGGTATGGATAAACCATCTGCCAACTGGTGCAAGATTTCTTTCATCCACAGTATCTATGCATACAGATCTGTGTGTATATGCAATCAAACGAATATAAATGAAATGTCGCGCGATTCACAGACACCGCCCTGGTGTATGTGCATAATTGCGGCTTCTGAATGACTTTCTGAAATGACTAATGGGTGTAAAGAATTTCTATATGCCTACCTTACCAACTTTCTGAAGATCTGCGGAAACACACACACACTAGACAAGAAATGGATCATTGAAGTGATCCGTTCGGAACTGAATCCCCTCACATGCAGTTAGATTTGAGCAATGGGCTAAGGTCCAGTTCTTGGCTTAGCCGATTGCCATTGACGATACTGGAAAATTGCAGGTACGTTTGCACGACGACATAGATGGGTCTTCGTTGGCCCGTGCCATCTATGCGTCCACGGGCCCCCTGCACTTAGAAGCTTTACATCTGTACAGGTGTTACACGCACACACACACACACCCGGCCGGAGCCGGGTCGACCCTGAAAGGGAAGAGGAAGAAAAAAGCGGACACAAACGACGGGCAAAGGCCAAAACAGCGCGGGGGGGGAAAGGGAACAGACGGACCTCCAGAACCAACCTACACGGTGAAACGGACCTAACCAACACAGAGCACACACCTGAACCCCACGACACATTACAGAGGGGCACGGGGGAAGGACCGAATGGGGAACTAGTTGGTGACAAGAGCGAAAAAACAAAATGAAATTAAAGGGACTCAGGTCACTCCTAAGTAATCGTGCGTTACTCCCAAAACGGGACCGTGGTCGATCAAGCCACACGGGCATAAACGGCTGTTCAAGTTCAAGCGAATTAGATGCACGAAATCTTGAGCCTCACCAGAAAACCATCAAAAGAAAAGAATCACCACACCTGGAAGGTATGTACCCGCCTGGTTCATCTGTCATGTTGCATGTTGCATCAGAAACATGAGCATCAGCTCAAAAAGAGGTTTCTGGCTGTTTGGATCGGCTTCACTTGAGTAAAGATGAAAGTTCCAAGGTGTCGCAAAGACAGCAGGAGCGGCGAGACGTTGCAAAAAGTGGAGAATGGAAAGGCCGACTGTTTCACATTACTTGAACGAATTACTAAATTAAAATGTGTAAATTCGGAAGTCAAGTCAGTCCTCATCCACCCTAAACAGGGCTTCCTCAATTGGCTCCATGGCACCATGTCGGAGTCACCATGGAAATCACACTAGACAAGAAATGGATCATTGAAGTGATCCGTTCGGAACTGAATCCCCTCACATGCAGTTAGATTTGAGCAATGAGCTAAGGTCCAGTTCTTGGCTTAGCCGGTTGCCATTGACGATAAACTGGATAATTGCAGGTACGTTTGCACGACGACATAGATGGGTCTTCGTTGGCCCGTGCCATCCATACGTCCACAGGCCCCCTGCATTTAAAGTTTTGCATCTGCTCAGATGTTACACACACACACTGCTTAGGTTGATTTGATGATGATGAATGTAGAACTTGCCGTCGCCTGATTTCCTAAGTAACCTTCGATGGGGCACGGTTGCAATCGGTGAAATTCGGTCAATCGATTCTTGCCAAAGGACTCAAAAACAAGGTAATAGAACAGCTTGTGCAAAAGTTCGAACCAACATTGCAGGTACGTCAACCCAGCGTCCCAGGCTGATATCATTGTGACATCAGAAGCATCTTCGTTGGCTGGAGACTTCTGATTCACACTCCAGCCCCCTGCATGTCTGAATTAAAATTCAGTTCTTATTGTCGCCACATATTGTCTTCCTTGCTTCGTTGTACGAAATTGTAAAATATCCGTATGTTATAACGGGTTTCACACACACACAAGCCCCGTAGGGCAATGACGAAATTACATGAGTAGTTGAAATGGCAAACTCACACTGTCGCTGAAGTGACAGAATGGCAGTCCTGAAACTTTACAAAACACTCATGGAGGAGCGAAAACTCTGTGTGAAATGCGGTACTTCATGAGACTAAGCCGCCAACCATTGTTTGTGGTGAATTCAGTTCAATGAATTCAGTTCAGTGGGCGAAAGCATGTGAGGTCCGAGCTGATAACTCTCGTCAGGTTGTTATGTCGAATGCTCTTATAAAGAAATTAATTAGTTAAAAAGACAGACGCACATTGTCACTCAAATAACAGAATCGCTGTCCTGAAATGTTACGAGACACTAACCGAGGAGTGAAAACGCTGTCTGGATTTCGGTATTTCATAAGACTAGGCCGCCGACCATTGATCGTGGTGGATTCAATTCAGTGAACGAAAGCGTCCGAGGTCCGGGCTGATAACTCTGGTCAGGTGATTATGTCGAATATTTTATCGAAAAATCTTCTGTGTCAAAAATCTTGAGGTATTTAGAACTCTGAGACCTAAAGCATGATTGGGGGTAACTGAGGTCCCGACACCACCCCCTGCATTTCTGAATTAGAGGTTGTGGTCTGAAGAACTCAGTCCCTGTTGTGGTAGCATACAGTTATATCAAAATACGAGTAGTTAAATTGTCAGACTCACCCTCGGACAGTTGTTTAGTAAAAAGGTGAGTGCCCAAACTGCGGCCAACTGTTCAACACCAGAGCGACCGACGGGTGAAAAGCTGGAAAGGCCTACTGTTCCACTTTACTTGGGTGTGCAAAAAGGTGAGTGCCCAAACTGCGGCCAACTGTTCAACACTAGAGCGACCGAAGGATAAGAATTTGGAAAAGGCTAACTGTTTCACTTGACTTGAACAAGTTACCAAGTTGAAAATTGTTAGTTCAGCGCCCAGATCGAAGTCAATTTAAAGGGTGAGTGCCCGACTGCGGCCAACTGTTCAACGCCAGAGCGACCGATAGGTGAAAAGCTGAAAACACCTACTGTTCCATTTTACTTAGAGGTGTGTAAAAAGTGGGTGCCCAAACTGCGGCCAACTGTTCAACACCAGAGCGACCGACGGATGAAAAGCTGAAAAGGCCTACTGTTCCACTTTACTTAAACGTGTGCAAAAAGGTGAGTGCCCAAACTGCGGCCAACTGTTCAACACCAGAGCGACCCACAGGTGAAAAGCTGAAAAGGCCTACTGTTCCACTTTACTTAGATGTGTGAAAAAAGTGAGTGCCCAAACTGCGGCCAACTGTTCAACACCAGAGCGACCGACGGGTGAAAAGCTGAGTAGGCCTACTGTTCCACTTTACTTAGACGTGTGCAAAAAGGTGAGTGCCCAAACTGCGGCCAACTGTTCAACACCAGAGCGACCGACGACAAGTTGTGGTTCTGTAAGGATCGGACTTGGGTAAGACAACGGGTGAGACCCCCCGAAGGGTTAATCCATCCCTATAGGGATTAATCCTGGTCCTTCGAAGGGACTAATCCGTCCATCGGTGGGACTAATCCGTTGAAGTATGACAAATTGTCATAATTCGCTCCTAAAGTGGAGTAATCCTGTGGTTGACATAA